AATGAGGGAGCTGGGAACAGCAAAAGGTCTATATTTACAAAATAAAGGAAAAGAAGCCCTTCATCCAGAAGGAGAAGAAGAAAGCCCAAAGGGAATAGGAAAGCAATAAGGAAGGAGGGGAGAGAACCTCACATGTGAGGTTTAACCTTTGAGCCCAGGAGTTACTATAGTAACCAGTCTAAGGGGATAGTGACCAATCAGAGGAGATATCAAGGCACCAGGATCTGTAGCCTTTATAAGCCATAGGGAAAAGGAACTCAGTGGGGCTCTTCCCCCTCCTTACTTGGGAGTCTGTGCTGTGAGAATCTTTTCCTTTACCCACGTCAGAGTCTGTACTTGTTCTTCAATAAATTTCCACCTTTGCTATACCACCTTCTGTCTGTGGATTTATTCTTCGACTCCAGCGGACAAAGAATCCGGGTTCCAGTCCAAAAATTCCATATCAATACTACATTTTACCTTTCCATTGCTATTTATTTCACATACCTTACGCATTTCAAAAACTTACATGGGTCACACGAAATGACTCATTTTTCCCATTGCCTTATACATTTTATTCTGAGAAGCATCTAACGGTGATGTTGTTTATTTATTTAATAAATTGAAATCCAGTATCAGGAAAGCCAAGGATTTATTCTGATAAGTCAGTTCCTCTGCAGAGTGTGGATTGGGGCTCTTGCTTTTTGTTCCTGGGAACAAACAAATATTGACAGTGGCAAAATAAACCCGCTTTGGTATTATAGGTGTTTGAGGCTAACATTTTTAAAGGCATATAAGTCTTCAGAGAGTTCAACTTAAACATTCAAAAGAAAAATAAGACTGACTCAACATTGATCCATTCCCTTTCAGATGACTGATAGCAGAATATGAAAGAGAACAGCCATTTAGTCTCAAGTGTATATTTTATGCTACTTTAAGGAGGCAGCAATCCATAGTTCTTGGGCAAAAATTCTTAAGTCTCAAGAGAGATAAATTATAATGATGAGTTATAAAGAGGTAAATACTATATACACCAAACCAAAATCTTATATTCTATAGCCAGAAAGAAAAGTTGACAAATCTTATTACACATGAGCTTACAGATTTTAAAAACTTTAGATGTTGCATCAATATTAAGTAGATTATGTGGAAACTCAACTATATTTTGACTATAATACATATCTGTGTTTGGCATATCATGGTAACGGTTTATTGGATGACTGAATTAATCAAAATCTAATTTAATTCATTCTTTTAGTTTTTAAAATATCTGCTTGCTGAAAACTGACCAAATTTCTATAGCATCAATCCAACTAAGGGATCATAATTATCAAATTAAATGTTTTTACACTGTCAATGTCTGGTTATATTGATCACTTTAATACTGTTATCTGCAGCATCATTTCTGAATAATAAACACATATTGTTGCTTTGTCTTTGATTTGTCTAGTAAAACCTTTCTATACTTAGGAATAACAATAACAGATTACACTTTGCATTTGAATTTGAACCCTACAGCACAGAGTTTATGATTTTTTCTATATGTCAGATAATCAAGAATCAACTGTCTTTACAATAGTGCTTTTTAAAATGTATACAGAAAAAAAAATTATTTCTAGACTAGGGGGCCAGTGCAGGAATTTGTGTACCTTGAAAGGAACTGTGGGCGGTGAGGCTGCAGTGGGCACAGGGGTGGGTCTCGGCCCATCCTCCATGCCCCACCCAACCACTCCCACGGCTGCCCATGGTCCATTGTCTGCTGGCAGCCCTGCTTCTGTCACCACTGCTCCCATGTGCTGATGGCACCAGCCCTGCTTGCACCTGCTAACGGCATGGAGCAATTGGGGCTGGCGCCAGCAGCAGGTGCGAGCGGGGCCAGAGCCATCATCCGGTGTGAGCAGCGGCTGCTGCCCTGATCACCCCTCAGGAGCTATTGGGGCTGGCAGCTGCTGCTCATACCCCGTAATGGCTCCAAGTGATCAGGACCAGCACTGGGCACCAGCAGCAGGTACGAGTAGCGACTCCAGTGCCAGCAGCGGGTGCAAATGGGGCAGGCGCCAGCAGCAGGTGTGAGCACTGGGTGGGACCATGGTATGCGGAAGAAAAGAATTTTCAGTAACCACCAGAGGCTCACCTCAATGACAGCAACCGGTGCCCCACCTTGGTCTGGCGCCCCCACTCACCTGCTCCACCATCCAGCTGTTCCGCACTCTATCACCTGCTGCTGAAGCCCGCCATGTTCTGCGTGTGCCCCCTTGTGGTCAGCGCACATCATAGCAACTGGCTGTTTGGTTGTTCGGTTGTTCTGCTGTTCAGTCCATTTGCATATTAGGGTTTTATATATATATAGATTATGCAAGAAATACTTTCTCTTATTACTATTAATCTACACTAATAAAAGAGAAACATGGTAATTGGCGTACGACCGCTACCCTTCCCATTGGCTAATCAGCATATCCTTATGCAAATTAACTGTCAGCCAAGATGGCGGCCAGCAGCCAGGCAGCTGGAAGCGAACATGAGGCTTCCTTGCTTCAGTGACTGCAGACTCCAACATTCCCCGCCT